GTGGCTTCACGGCCCAATCTGTGCAGGTACTCACCGAAACACCCATGTCCGGTGAGTACCTGCGTGAGCCGGTATGTGGCTCTACCATGCCCGCGATTCACCCATTTTTTGAAAATGGGCAAAATCGCCCCGACGACGGGGTGCGCAGAATGAACGGATAAATCCGCCCTCCACCTGCGCAACACCCATCGCCGGGCCTGGAGTCTGAGCTCCCCCACTTCCGGTAACCCTGGCGGGTCCGTGAACTCCTGGCGGAGGGACCTATATACATAGGCCTCACCTACCGCCAGGAGCTCGAACGGTGGAAGACCCGCCAGGGCGGTCGCCGCCACGCGGGACACCGTGCGGTATCCACGTATGACCCTGATGGCCAGCCGCCGGTGGACGCGCCGAAGCACCTCCTTACCGTTGCGACTGGCCATCAGGGTGTCAGCCCAGATCGGGGACCCGTAAAGGGCCATCGACCGCACGGCGCCCACGTAAAGGCGACGAACCTTCTCGTCTGGCCCCCCTAGGTTGGGCAGCAGACGGCAAAGTGCCGTCGCCGCCCTTTCCAGTCGGGGGGCCAGGAGCCGGAAGTGGGGCTCAAAACTCCAAGGGGTGTCCAGGTGGAGGCCAAGGTAATTCATACCCGCCCCCACCTGGACGGCAAAGCCACATACCCGGACCCGGGAAAGGGGCGGTACGAGGCGGCGCCAACGGGGGGTGTGGCTTGTGAACCACACCGCCTCCGTTTTTTCCGGCGCCAGCCTCAGCCCCATCTCCCGGACCCGGGAAGCCACAGAGGCCACTCCAATCTCCGCGAGGCGGATGGTCCTCTCCGCGTCCTCCCCGGAGGCCAGCACCAACGTGTCATCGGCATAACACGTCAGGCTGACCCCCGGGGGGAGTTGGGCCCGCAGGGCCGCGTCATACGCGATGTCCCACAGTAAGGGGCCCAATACGGACCCCTGTGGGACACCACGCGTAACCGCCCTCTTGACGTCCGCGTATCGACCGGGAAACTCTACCCACCTGCCGGAGAGGTAGGCGCCGACCGCCATCCGCAAGTGCAATGGGACTCGATGAAGCTCGAGCCCTTTGCGGATGGCCTCCCAGGAAAGGGCGTTAAAGGCGTTGACTATATCTAGTGATATAGCCAAGCACGCCCTTCCCTGGGAAGTAGCCGAGTCCGAGAGGGAGCGGACACGGCTGATTGCATCAACCGTAGACCGCCCCCCCCGGAAGCCGAACTGGCACTCGGCCAGGTCGACGCCATCCCTCCCCGACAGGTGGCTGGAGAGGCGGGCAGCCACGATGCGCTCGTAAAGCTTGCCCACCTCGTCCAGTAAGACTATCGGCCGATACGCGGACGGGAGGTCCGCGGCCCTGCCCTCCTTCTTCAGGAGGACCATCCGCCCCGCCTTCCACCGATGTGGAAACGCCCCCGACTGCAGGAGGCCTGTGAAAAGCCTCCTGAGCCGGGGGCCGAGGACGCCGAGTGCCAAGACCCAGGCGCGGCCAGGGATACCATCCGGGCCCGGCGCCGTGTTCCGGGCCCGGAGGCGTGTTACAGCCCTGGCCAGCTCCTCCTCCGAGACCCCGGGTACGTCGAACCGCTGTGGGCGGTCCGACTCCCCCCAGACGGGTGCGGGTCCCTCCTCCCGTGGGAAGAGGGAGTCCACGACCCGCCCGAGGAGCCCGGGGTCCATGCTCTCTGTCAGAGGGGGGGCCCATGGGCGGAGTTTGCCCATAACCAAACGGTATGGGCGGCCCCATGGGTCCCTCTGCAGAGAGCGGAGAAGCCCGTCCCAAGCCTGGGACTTGGCACTCCTGATGGCCTGTTGCAGCCGAACCGTTTTTCCACGATATTCGGCATACAACAGTGCCTCCCTCGCTTCGTCGCGAACCCTTCTTCGGCGAGACCGGGTGTACTGGCGTCGCGCTGTCGTGCACTCCTTGCGGAGTGCCGCGATTTCGCGCGACCACCAGTACACCGGCCTCTGAGGCGGAGTCTTGGCCCGGGGCATCGCGCAGTCGCAGATCGACTGCATCGCGCCCCGGAACCACTCGGACTCCGCCTCCAGGTCCGCGACGGGCCCGGTCGGCGGCTCCGACCAGGCCACAGCAAGGGAGGCTGCCATCAGCGCGTCCTCATCCAGGGCCCTGAGGACCCAACGGCGCGGCCTGTGGCGGCCGGCTGGGCAGCGCGGGGTGGTGTCGGACACCTCCATATATATATAGAGGTGGTCCGACAGGGTCTCGACCTCGGAGACCCTCCACCCCGAGACACGGCGCGCGGCACCAGGGGTGGCCCATGAAAGGTCCACGATGCTTTCACCCTGGTACCGCACGCACGTGCTGGCCGACCCCCGATTGAGCAATCGGAGGCCTAGGCCCGCTGCCCAGTCCAGCACCGCCCCGCCCCTCGCGTCCGTCCTGGGGGATCGCCACGCCTCCGCGTGGGCGTTAAAATCCCCCAGGACGAGTACCGGACGGGGTGCAATGCGTGCGACAAGGTCGCGCAACCCGTCCAGGTACTCCTCGAAGGACGCGAGGGGCCAGCGGGGCGGTGCGTAAACACCGACCACCGCCAGGCCGCGCCATTCGACCGCCACAAACCCCTCCCCCCGCTCAATGAGCGTAGGGGGTGGGGCCTGAGGCGGTCCTCCCGAGATAATTGCCACGGAGCCGCCCACGCCCCCGACCCAGGACGGTCGATCGAGGACGCGGTACGGCTCCGCGACTACCGCCAACGCCACCCCTCCCGCCAGGCCCTGGACTATCAGGTCCTGGGCCCGGCGGGAGTGATTGGCGTTGGTTTGCAGGATCCGGACCGGGGGCGCCATTTTTATGCCGTTATCATGGCCTCCCCCCGGCCCGGGTCCTTGCTTGGGCGCTTTTCAGCGCCCCCCTCTCTCGTCTCCACGTCACGTCCCTGGGCGGTACGTATCCGCCCCTTTTTTGTGGGCGGGGCGCAAGCCCTCGCCCCCAACCGATGCCCAGCAGGGCGGCCCAGGTCTGCGCAAAGCGGACATCTGGGCTCTGCTGCCGTGCACTGGCCCGCCCGGTGGGAGGGGTCGCCGCAGCGGTAGCAACGGCGACCCCTATCCACGTCTGCAGTGCACCGGTGCTGGGTGTGTCCCACTTCCAGGCACCGGTAGCACTGCAGCGGGCGGGCCTTTAGTGCCTCCACCCGCGCCGACACCCAGCCGACCCTGAGACGGCCTGCAGCGGCCAGTTTTCTTGCCGCCGCCAACGGACACCTGACCCAAAGTGTCCCCAGGCCGTTGGGGGAGGATCGGATACCGCCCGTCCTCACCCCCGCGACCGGGCAACCCCCGACTTCCGCCACAGCTGCGGCGACCTCGTCCGGCTGTACGGAGTCATCGAGTCCGCTCACCCTAAGTTCTCCGTTTTTGGAGGGGTGTGCAACTCGTGCCTTATCCTGCAATACCTCGCGGAGACGAACGGCAAGAGCCTCCGCTTTCTCCTCCCTGCCCGGGCCGGATACCTCCAAAATGATTCCCCCGGTCCGGGCTCTACGAGGAC